TCGGTCGATTGGTCGGTCGATCGACCTCCGCCGGAACTGTCGAGCTGTGTATCCCCTTTTCTTTCTCGGTGAACCAAGAGAGAAGGAAAGAGGAGGCGAAGAGAGAGAGAGAGAGAGAGAGAGAGAACCGCGGCACACGGTGGCCGGTGTTTATTCCACCCTATGGCGAGAGACGATGTCGCTACTCCACGCTAGACCGCCCTTTAAATATTTGCCTTGCCGTTGTCGCCCCGCCCGACGACGGGCCCCAGGAAGTAGCGGGCGCGTAACGCGCGCGCGAGTTCCGCTCGAGTGGTCGCCGTCATCATCCTCGTTGTCGTCGGTCATCGTCGTGCTCGTCCGGGGGGAGGGGAAAAAGTGTCGGTATTCGGAGAGCGCGAGACCCTGTGTTTTGCCATCTCGTCTTTCGAGAAAGAAAGAAAAAGGGCCGGCAGAGGGGAAGGAGGGAGAGAAGTGCACGAGACGCCGACGTACGATCAGAAGAAGCGAGATTAATGGATCAGTTTATCCTCTCCATTAACGATTTCGGGTCCCGGCACGCGGCGGGGTGGGGGGGGGGGGGAGAAGTCCGTCTCGCGGCGAGGAATTAATTTCCCATTCCAAGTTAGGCAGAAGCTGACTTACCATAATTTTCGTGGATTCGGATCGTTCTCCCGACCGGCTGTTGAATATTCTCCCGCTTATTATGAACGGTTTCTGTAATCAACGTCAGACATAGTCCGACGCGAAGGGCTGCCGTGTCGACGAGACGCGCGCGCTCGCGCGCGATGGTCGCGTTAGGTTCGATGAAACTGGTCCTTCTCCCGTCCCTTTTCGAGCGTGTAGCGCCGAGAATATTCGTCTCCGTCTCGTTTTATCGCAATTCCGCCGCTGAGACACTGAAGAAAATGCAGCGAAAACTTGAAGCCTGCACACGCCGGTCTGCGGCACGCTCGTTGGCCCTGTTTCAGCCGTTTGTTTCGCGGACGTTTTTCCACACGAGCGTTTTCCACGCTCGTGCAGCCGCGGTGTCGCCGGCCGTCGCGAAATAAACTTCTCCCGCGATTACTCACGATTATTTTTATGAAAATGTATTTTAATTGCATCCCCGAGTCAATTAAGAATGTTAGTCGGGTGAAATGCGCGCGCCGCGATGCGATCTCTTCTTCTCTTTGCTTCCTTTCCTGTTTTTTAATGATAATTCGAGTCCCTCGCGACTGAAGAGTCGCGTTTCGTTTTGCTGGGAGGAAAAAGGGGGAAAAAGGCGACAGCGTAGCCCCGAAATTTCTTCGAGTGAAATTCCGCTCGCCGACCGGAGTGACAGCCAAGTCACTCGAGGTCGAAACGACTTTTCGCTCATGTAGAGCGAACCCTTCCGCTCTGTCGCATCGAGTGAATATTTTCATTCGCAGTCGAGGAGTTAATCTGACGTATTCCACTGTCATTGTAGCGAATTCACTCTGATCGATTGAAACATTCACTCGTACGGTTGAAGAATCCACTCTTGTGATTCCGCGAGAGCGGCACTTCTCCCGCAATCGCTCCGAGTGAGCTTTCACTCGTCCGGATCGACACTTTTTATTCCGGGAAATTTCGAGAGTGGCTGATTCTCTCTGGCTATTTTTGATAATTTATCGAAAGCGACGCCTTCGTGTGGCAAGGAAGATAACTCGTGGAAGAGTGGAATCTTGCTAGAAACGAATCGAAGGCGGCATTATATATTTACATTCGACGCGCGAAAATACTGATATTTTCATCATTAGCTATAATAAGATTCGACTAAAATCAAAATTAAAATTAAAATTAAAATGTATAAATGCTGGAAGATCATGATTACAAGCGCACCGCTAATGACGAACGATTATTCGCTGACATTTTAGTAGCTAACAGTTAATATCGGATATCTATTTGTTGGATCTCTGCACAATTATTCTTTAGCTTGTCCAAAATTAAACAAGAAGAAATAAAACTATGTGTCATGTCGCAAATGGGCGTTTTACTCATTTCTGAAAAAATATAAATAAATCCAAATTCTTCCACGAATTCTACAAGAATATTAATTCGTGTTATACCTTCCTAAAATTTATTAAGGGGAGAATTACATGCGGAGCAGGCCGTTTTCAAAGCTATTTTTACGAACTCTTTTAACAGAAGTAGGATCAATGGATTTGAAATTTTCATAGTATATTCATTAATGTTCAAAGTGTAAAATAAATTTGTTACTATCTATATGGAAAGTACGTATAAAATTTTGAATGCGTTCATCTGGAAACACCATTTCCTTAAACTGTCGACACGATTACGTTAAAATTACTGAACCGAATAACTTGAAAATTTTTACACAATATACAGTAGACATGTAATTTTCGCCCCTACCTCGAACACAGATTTTTTATTTTATTTTATTTTATTCAGATATTTTATTTTATTCATTTTTTTAAACATTATTGAACGAGTTGAAAAAAGTTTCATTTTCAATATATATTTTTTTTTTCAAACTTGGCTTCATTGCTTTCATTTTAGTGCGCGCTATAATAGCAATTGTATATTTCAGAAATCTTTCTCAGTTTTTGGTTTCAGAGTAGTGAGAGAAAGGCCCGGAATTATGTGTCGATAACAAACATAGAGCTCGCAAATTGGATGCATTTTTATCTATAATTATAAATTGGATCGGTTTCAATAAAATTTATTTTATACTTTGAACATGAATGAATGTACTGTGAAAATTGCAAGTCCATCGATCCTGCCATTTCTGTTAAAAAAATTTAGCAATAAATATAGCATTGAAAAAACGGCCTTCCGTATGTAATTCCTCCCTTAAAGAATTTTAAGTTATTTATAAAATATCCTCGGAAATAACGAAAATACTACTTAACGATCAGACAATTTACCTTTATTTTTTCGTCAGTAATTTAATTTTACGAGAAACTTTCTCACGATGTTGCTTGCTCACCGATTAACACATTCGCCTTCATGTCTGACGAAAAAGACGCGCAACCGCAACGACACTCACGAAAAGTTACACACACACAAAGAGAGAGAGAGAGAGAGAGAGAGAGAGAGTCGAATCAGCGCAAGATATCTCTTGTCGCCGGCGATCGCTAGCGCTCTCGCGCGAGAGCGCATTAATCCGTTAATAAAACGGGACGGCCGATATATCGAGAGATAGATCGAGTCGCGCGCGCGCGCGGGCACGATGTAGCGGCTAATTCATCGCACGGTTTGTCATTAGCTGTCGCGCGCACATACGGACGGCATTCGGGCGGACGTTTCCGCTTACGTTTACGGCATCAGCATAAATTTTTGACGGCGAGACGGCGTCGTGCCCGCCGCGCGCGCGCGCGCGCGCGCTCGCGTGCCATGATTTATCGATTCCGGCCGGTTAAACATCGACAGTCCCGGCCGGAGCTGATACAGCCGACAACGGAGCCGATAGAACGCACTAATCATTAACCGGCGGCCCAAGGTTGCGGCAACATTTCGCCGATTGTATCTCGCGCGCGCGCGCGCGCGCGGAACGTTCGACACGCTCGCGCGTAATCAATATGTACGATAGTGGGCAATGGTGGCCCCTCGAAGGGCCTCGAACTGCCGGCCGAAATATCGCGATAATGCACATACAAGCGCGGCACATCCCAAAACGTGCTAATTTAAATTACCGCGCTTTCAGGCTCGGCTCGCGCTCGAAGCGTAAATTTAAATTTCTGAAATGGGACGCGCGCACCGATAGGAGAGAGAGTGCTTGTTAGCATCGTGGTAGCCATCAACATAATTAAGCTCGCCCCCGCCCTCCCCTCCTAAGTGGAGACGCCTGTGTATCATTATTAGTACACGCCTCGATGTTACGGGGTTCGAATGTGCTTACGAGAATTTAGGTCCGCGTCAGGTGGCCTGATTTAAGCGCAGTAACGCGAAATATCCAATTAAGTCATAATGGGGCTACCTATTGCCAACATCCGGCTGCAACACGTCGCGCCGCTACAGCGCGATATATTTACGCGTTCACGTTCGCGTCCGCCAGGGGGCGCCGGTGGGGGTCGGTCTTTTGATACGACACACGATGAACGCGTGTAACGAACGGCGGCCTCCTTGATTCGATCTACCTTCCGGAACGTAGGTGGAGAGGCGAGAGTGTGTGGGTGTGTAGTACGTTACGGGTAGTACGTGCCGTCGAAGACGCGCCAATTCAGCATATTGCCGAGGGAGACGGAGAGAGCATTTCCGAAATCAAAGGAACGTATAACGAAACTCTTAACGCAACGACAACCTAGTTCGTTAAACGCGCCCCATCTCGCGTCCTGGACGTGACTATCCTTCCGAATGGCATCCTCGGCCGTCGATCGTCGCCGGGAGACTTGTCTTCCGCGACTAACGCGCGCGGACAGTGATGCGCGATTTCGGTGACTGAAGAAAGGCACGCTGAAGACAGCCAACAAAGAAACGGAAACCTCAAAGTTGCGCAAATTTCGTTGAAGCCGCAGTCGAGTCAAATTGAATGAAAATCGAGTTTTCCCGCGACGATCTGCCGCGGAAATTCGAGCTACGGAATTCGATCAAGCGCGAAAGTTTAGCGAAAGTGAAACGTGGTTGGATGCGTAGGCTTGCTTCCGAGCGTCGAAAGGCTCATCTAATCGCGTTTTAATTTGAGTAACCGCGCAGTTCGATTCTCCCCCTCTCTGGCTCTATTTCCTCACAAAAATGAAAAATAAATCAGACAATTAACGCGACCGACAATGCGTCGAATCGGCGTCGATCGCCTCGTTGAGTCGCATGCGTGTGATGATGAGTTTGCTTTACGCAAACCCCAGAAGAGACCCCAGAAGAGCGCCAAAGTGTTGTTGAAGATTCGGTCCCCCGACTGCATTCGAGTCGGGAAGACCGAAGTGTGAACGAGAGGGGAGGAACGGAAAGAGGGGGGGGGGGTGCTCAGCTGGTCTCTCGCGTGGCGATAATCGCCGCCAAAATTCCCCGGCGAACTATTATAATTCTTCTCACCGCCCTCGCTCTGGTGACTTTTGCAGTTCGCAACGGTTATTCTTGCGTACCTGTTGCTCTCTCGGAAGGACTCGATATTCGATTGAACACAGCTGCCAGGGCGGTGCGGTACGGGCCAAGCGGCGTGGAAGTGTGGGTCGCGCCCGCCCGCAGTCCGCACACAAATCAAACCATCCACAAGGCCGACGCTGTTCTGGTTACGCTACCACTTGGGGTCCTCAAGGCTTACTCGCCACCTTCCGGGGTCGCCTTCCACCCGCCGCTTCCGGAGTGGAAGACCCAGGCCATTCAACGACTCGGCTTCGGCAATTTAAATAAGGTGAGTACGCCGACGTCTCTCTCTCTCTCTCTCTCTCTCTCTCTCTCTCTCTCTCTCTCTCTCTCTCTCTGTCTCTCTCTATATATACATCTACCGACCTGCTCCGCACCCCCGGTCGCCGCTGCCGCTTCGGTGTCGCCCTAAAGCAGCCTGATTTATGCCGCCTGCGAGAAGGACAAGGACTGGGAAGGGAGGAAGAGCCGACCGGCTCGCTCACTCGCTGCTGTCGAGCGGGTGTAAGGGCATTAGGACTGCATAATCGCGCATTAAGTCTTATCACCGATCGCGCACTGGCAGATTCCGGCGGTAATTAACGTGCGTTCTTTTAACGAACGGGGACCAACGTCGAAGAACGCGGCGGCGGCGGCGGCGGCGGCGACGCGCGAGCATTCGGCGTATGTCATTCGATTAAGGAATGTCGTAACGGTTAAGCGGTTTACGATCGGGAGAGACGGGATTTCTTTTAGGGAAGTCCGAGGGAATCGGATCGCGACGAGGGGCTTATCGGGATATCCGTATCTCCCCCGGTTAAACGGAGATTCATTGCTCGCCGTTGAGGTCGTCATTCCGCTTCGAATGACGTGCAATTTACGCGTTTTTCAGCCTGCACGCAGTGGGAAGTCGTGATGAGTACCTGTTTGTGACGTCATTATTAGCCTCCTTCGGGATGAGTTTATTAAAATTAGAACAGTACAATGTCGCTTTTAAATTGCCTAACGGTGTGGCATCCGTCGGTCACGAGCGACGAGATTGTTCGTTTTGTAGTTGTGGAATTTTCTGACGAATGTTTATGCGCAGTAATGTTTGTCGTATCTTGATAACGATGTTCGAATTAAGCAAGAGGAATTTTACGTACGATTGTCTGCATAATTTTTATGATGTTTACTTCCTGATGAGTTTACGAACACGTGAAGTTAACGAGGCTGCGGAACGTATCCGTCTAAACCAATGGGAAAAATTCACTTTCTAACGGAAGAATTCTCCCATTGGGCGAGACAAATGCGTTTTAAACCTCGCACAAAAAATTACAGACAAGGTTTCTCTTCCTGACTGTACAAACTTGCAAACTTGGGAAGGTTGGGAGCTGTCGATATCTGTTTTAAATACAGACCATATTCTCCATTCATTTTTATCGATAAAAGTGGCTTTCAGCAGCCAATCAGAAGGCTTGTGGGTCAATCTTAGAGCCACTTTCATCGATAAAAGAAAGTTCAGAATACCGATGAAGGCGTACAGCAAGTAATTTATGGTGTCAAGAGAATGTGAGAAAAAAGTGCGAGGGAAGTGTCAAACTTTATGCAAACGACTCTACACACGTAATCCAACACCCCCTGAAGAAATTAAGGAATCACGTGAAACTCGGCGACAAGATAAATCAAGATCGATCGACAGCGGCAATTCGCCAGATGTCTCATCCGCCATTTTCCACGACACGTGGAGCGCGAGATTTCGTCGGCCTTGGTTTCTCCTCCCTTCAACGTGCGAGTAAAACGCGGTATCGAACAGGCATCGGGGGTGCCTGAGTCGCGTCGTTCATGCTTTGTGAATGCGCCGAAATGTTCCAGCCTCGTGTGCACCTTCTTAATCTTCCCGTACTTCTTTCCGTCCAACTTGTCGCACGCAGGTGGTATTATGCTTCGAGCGCATCTTCTGGGATCCAACGGCCAATTTGTTCGGCCACGTGGGAAGTACCACCGCGTCGCGCGGCGAGCTCTTCTTGTTCTGGAACTTATACAAGGCGCCGGTCCTCTTGGCCCTCGTCGCCGGTGAGGCAGCCTGCGTAATGGAAAATGTCAGCGACGACGTTATCGTCGGCCGTTGCATCGCCGTGCTGAAGGTAAGTGGATGAAATTTCTAGCTGGCGCAGAAGCCGCAGGAGGCGGAGGCGGACGCGTAGGAGGGAAGAGGAGCGCGTCGGACGCTGCACTCCGATGTTACTTAGTCGATGACGCGCCTCTCCCCTCGCGTTGATATTAACCCCTTGACTGGCGGAAACGCAATACTGCGTGCGCAAAAAATGGCCAGGACGGGAACGCAATACGGCGTCCTCATATCTCCGGTAGTTCGATATTTCGAGAATTGGGTATTCGAAGGTTCTTGGGGCTTCTCTATTCAGCCATGAATAGAGAATCTCGAAATTCAAAATTCGGCGGTTATAACGTATCGGCCGAATCGGTATTGAAAAAGCGTAAAAGCTTTAGTGTTTTGCAGGTTTTGCGGGTTTTCAGGTCGCTCTTTTTAATGGTGAATTTTTAAAAAATTCGGAAATGGCAAGTCACCACACAGATCAATATAAATAACTAAAGCAAGGTGTTATCCATGTGTTGTATAATTTATTATAAATTATATTTACTCGTTATTTCTCGATATTTGTTTCTCTGTACAAACTTCTAGTTTCATTCGGATGAAATAAAATTACGATTTCAGTTGCCATATTGGCTGACCATTTTGAATCTGAATTTGAATTTGGACTTTATATTCGTGAACAGTGAGCTGAAAAAAGCACAACATTCTAATGACATTGCGTACATAGAGAGAAAAATGTTTTGTGTGGATGAAAGAATTTTCTGGTGGGATATGAAGACGACATAGAAATTCTGGTTGAAGTTGGCAGAATTCTCTCTAAATTATCTCTCTTAAATTAAGATTTCGGGTTAATTCAAAGAGAATTCCGGCATGTTTTTTTTCTGTCGAAATTTCCGAATCGTTCACACTTCAGCAGAAAATTTCGGTTCATTCGAGCGAACATTTTGAAAATTAATTTCTTGCCAGCTTAACCCTTTGAGGCATAGTGGTAAGTATATTTACCACCTATTTATTCTCACATTTCCATGAAATATTTCATATTTGAGGGATTCTTGTCGGGTTTTTTGCATCTTTTAGCTACTTATATGATATGGAAACATATATGAAAGGTTGAAAAGTGTTTTGCATAAGTTGTTCATTTATTATAAATAAACAAAGTGTGAAAAATACACATTTTTACAGAAAAAAAATCATTTTCCACGAACCATGAGTGAATTTTTTGCTCGAAATCAAGATTTGGAGGTTTTTTGGGTTGCTGATTACAAATATGAGGTCCAAACTCCAAAATTAATTTCCCAAGATGGCAGATTCAAGATGGCGGATCATAGAATTTTTATTAAATTAGCTAAAATTGTACTCTGGTTAGTTTTTGAGGCCGCTGATTACGAATCTGTGGTTCACATTCTAAAATTCATTTTCCAAGATGGCGGATTCCAGATGGCGGATCGAAGAATGTACATAAATTTAGCTAAAATTGTACTCTGGTTAGTTTTTGAGCTCGCTAATTGCGAATCTGAGGTCCAAATTCTAAAATTTATTTTCCAAGATGGCGGATCATAAAATTTTTATATGATTAGCTGAAATTGCACTTTGGTTAGGTTTGAAGGTCGTTGATTACGAATCCGAGTCCAAAACTCATTGTTCAAGATTCAAGTTGGCAGATCATGGAATTCTAATATATTTACCTGACATTGTCTTCCGGTTAGTTAATTTTTCATATTTGCGGCCGCCGTCTTGAATTTTGAAAATCTGATAACGGATTCGTAATCAGCGACTCCAAAAACCCCATAATATCCACTGTCACCGAAATTATCCCGATGTTTCATTCTTGCGTCCGCCATCTTGGACCCGCCATCTTGAATTTCGAAAATCTGATAACGGATTCGTCATCAGCGACTCCAGAAACCCCCGTATATAAATTTTCATGTGATTCGGATTTTCTGAAAAAAAAACGTGCCTCAAAGGGTTAAGCACTTTTGTGAAATCCAGTCAAGAGATCAAGCAGTCGCGACCACCCTCCCTTTTGTCGCCGCTTGCGAACGGGCGAGGCTGAGATAAACGGGGGGAGGTTTTATGAAACAAGCGTACCTCTTTTTGCACGGATCCAGGGCATCTTCGGGAACCAAGTCGTACCGCAACCGCGAGAGAGCGTCGTGACGAGATGGCGTGCAGACCCATGGGCTCGCGGCTCCTACAGCTTCGTCGCGGTCGGCAGCTCCGGCAGCGATTACGATCTCTTGGCGGCTCCGGTCGCGGCGCCATCGCCGTTGATCAACCATCCACCGGGCACCCAATCGCAGCCGAGGGTGTTCTTCGCAGGTGAGTGTCGAGTCCGCGAGGGATACCTCGCAACGCGCGCGCGCGCCACCGCAATGAGTAATCCGGCTATATTTCTGCAGCCGAATATTATTCAGTCCCGCGAGTATTATTCGGTTATTATTCCACATACAGGAGAATGCGCTCAAGTAAATGGCACATGTTTCAAGTATCTCGTCATCAAATTTATCGTAAGCATCAGCTTTATCCGAAATACATCCTGAATCCGTAGCAAGTTTAGTAGTTGGAGCGAGAATGTCAAAGAATATTCAATTAAAACAGGCATTCACAGTTTCTCTCCTATATAAAGCAAAAGTTTCATAATATCCTCACGAGAAGAGAATAATTTGAGATTTTCTAAAATTCCTGATGAATATATTTCAAGACTATCATCGCAAGAAAAAATTTTTTGCTGGAAAGGAAGAAAGTAAACTGAGCACCGAGTCGCTTTTTTAACAAAACATAATTATATTTTTCTCCGCGCGGGGTACACATGTCCGCGAAAATCCACCATCCGTATATTAATATTCGCTGGTATTATCACAGTACATTCATTTGTTGGTTGCTTGTTGCCGCCGGAAAGATCGAAAAGATAATTTCAATCATTTTTCTCCGGTGACTTTCGTAACGCATTCTGCATCCCCGAGAGGAATGTGTGGTCTTTACTGCTTCCCGAAAGACTCATTTTCCTATTGGACACGGAATGCCGCGCGAAGCTCATCGAAGGAAGCGATCTTTCATCAAGGAATACGCAGACGTAGCGTTTCCGTCCCACGAAAGCGCGCGGTAATTCCGCCGACGACGGTTGCTGCAAGTTTCCACAATTTGCGGAGCGCCGCGCCTCAAATCTCCGTGGCGCGAAAATCCGCGAGCGAGTCGCGGCGCATTAGCGCTCGTTGAGTCCTAACGAGACGGTTTGACGAACCACGTCGGCGAATTAATAAGTATTGGGTATATGCCAATACACCAAAGTTTTAGTCTTTTCTTCAACCCTTTAATTAATTATTATGTTAAATTGAAATACTTTCCCGTCGTTTTGTGTTTTTGTAAGGTAACGAACCTTAAAAGAACGTCATTCATTATAATATATTAGTGTGCATAACTTTAAAAATGAATCCCATAATGAATAACCAAGGAATCATAATACGAATGGCGTTTTAGAAATTCAATATCGACTTTATAAAAACACAAAACGGCGGCGAAATACTTCAGGTTCAGATAATTACTTCAAGTTGAGAGAATTGCATCAGACGGCTGAGGAAGAGACTGAAACTTGGAATGCATCTGACGCGACGCAGATCCGTCGAACTTCCGGCCGCCGCGGGTATCACACACACACACTCACATACATAATACATCCACACACACGCATGCTTGCGTTAACCTAGACGAAACGGCGGATTTTCAGGTGAGCACACTATACGAAATTACCCAGCGACCGTGCACGGCGCATTCCTGAGCGGCCTTCGCGAGGGCGGACGTATAGCCGACCAGCTTTGCGGGAGTCCTTACGCGCCGCCGACGATGCCGACTTCCGTTCCGCCGTCGACGGGGATCGCGCAGGCGAATACCGGCAGCAGCTCGACGCCTTAGAGCGTCTCCGCGCGTTTTGTCTTTCCTCGGATCGCGGGATATGGTCGGGGACAGCCGTCTTTCCGTGGCAGAGCGTTCCCTTCGTGCAGCTTTTTGCCGCAGAGGGAGAGAGAGGGGGAGAAGGAGGGAGAGGGAGGAGGAGAGCAAAATTCTCCGCAACGCAATTCACGACTGTAGATTCCTCGATCGGACGTCGGTCCGATCTTGTAGCTCGACGTTTTCACGGCACGTTACGCGTCGCGTACTTCCTCTCTCTCTCTCTCTCTCTCTCTCTCTCTCTCTCTCTCTCTCTCTCTCTCTCTCTGAGTTTCCTCGAGTGAGCTTTTACTCAAAACGGACGAACATTCGTCCGTTGTACTGATGAAAACGTCGGAAACCGCTAGAGCGCATGTTCAACGCTACACTGATGGCACTGAATGGGTCAGTTTGTATCAAGTCAAGGTCGTCAGAATAACGCGGGGAAAAAGTATGCTTACTTTATCTATTTAGTTGATATTTTGCTTTTTAGTTTCGTTTTAGTTGAATTGTTTCTCTTCCACTTTGTTCCACGTCGGTGGAAAGGTGCAAAGTGTCCCGTTTGACGAATTTCAGTTCCTCTTGCGGAAGAGATTTCAGATCGGCCATTCTGTGTTGACTCAAAGCTCGAGTGGATTCTGAACTCTCGATCGACCGGAGTACATTTGACGATGGATTCGTCCTTCAATGTCGCAGAAAAATATAGAAAAAGAAGGAAACGGCTGAAGTTCGTCCGCGCATGAATAGAAGATATTCACACGACGTTTCAGAATGGCGGAATCAGTTCTACACGAGTGAGAGAGAACGGTCACTCGACTTCACGGATGGGATTCCACTCAAGGTAATTCAGAGGGTAGGCTGAAAATATTGTCGCGCCCAGCGCTAATCTGCAAACACGTTCCGAACATTTCGTAAAACTCCCGCCCCGTGCGCGAGTTCTAATTAGTGTCATGTTAATCACTCATGTCGCCTTATCGATTACAATGTAGACTAAGTGCAGACCCTTCATATTCCCCTCCCGCTCTGTTTGACTTCGCTTTTTTCCCGAACTCTCGCTCGTAAGCTTCCGTTATTTAGCTTGATCTGCGCACATATTAATCATTTCTGTAGATTATTGCACGTCTCGCGCCCACGAGAGCGAGAAGTATTATTACCGTTATTATTATTTTACCATTAGTTTACTATTATATACTATCGTTACTATTACTTTTATTACTTTTACTACCGTTATTATTAGTACAAGCATTCCACAACACACTTGGGCTGAAAGGGGAGAGAGAGAGAGAGAGAGAGAGTGAGAGAGGGGAGGAGAACTGTAACTCGTCATTCTCTCTCTGTCTCTCTCTCTCTCTGTCTCTCTCTCTCTCTCTCTCTCTCTCTTTCTCTCAAATGCAGAATGACGCGAAGCCGCGAGGTGGAATTATCTGGTGACGCAGTATTACTACATGCGCTGGTGGCAATCGCAGCGAACCTCACGTGGTGGATCGAATCCAATCGCGTTCGCTTGTAATTCGTACTTTTGATGCGGCGATTATTCGCGTAATAACGTTACCGCGGCGTGACGCGCGCATCGAGTATCGCGCATATTTGTAAACTTCGAGCTGGATTTTCCTTCGCATTTGCCGCACCCGCGCCCGCGCACCGCCGCGCGTACAATCGCATTGTGTGTGTTTTGGCGCATTTTTATTCCTAACGAACAACATTTCGATAGAGTCTCCCTCCCCCTCTATATCTCTGTCCCCTTTCTCTCCGAGAGGGGCACGATCACTGCGGCAAAATGACACCGCGATCATAAAGCGGCGTTCACAACGAGAGATCGATACGTCCGGATACGTCCGTTTTATGCTCGCCGCGAGCGAAGCGAGTATATCCGCGGACGTCTCGCTTCATTGTGCTCCGGCATTCCGCGCGCTTACGGACGGAGCCGGGCGTAATTAACGATATTGAAAACTAATCAGGCCGCGAAGCCGATTACGAGCTTTCGTGCATGCACACCTGCGCGCGTACACCTGTAGCTGTGTGTGTGTGTGTGTACAACAGAAATACATTCGTACATACATTCATATATATATATATATATGTGTGTGTATGTGCATGTGTGTAAATTTTAATTAAAGACTTGTTACGAACGATATGACCGAGTCGAGGTTCTTTCTCCTCTCCCAATTGCCCCGACTACACGTATTACTTTATATTAGCTCTAGTCAGTTAATTCTTTCCGATGAAATTTACACGGCTCAGAGCCGAAAATTTGAAATTGAAATATACATCCGCTCTTTTGCGACTTTCAAGTGTTGACATTTAACTGTTCAAAGTGACATATGGTCCGACGTTTGATGCACATAACCTCAAATAATCAATAGTTGAATGTTTCCGAAGTGGTGATTTTGATCTTCATGAACAACCACGCCCCGGTCAGGCAAAAAAATTTGAAGACGAGGAGTTGCAAAATCTACTGAATGAAAATACGGCACAAATACAACAAGAACTTGCGGAAAAGTTGGGAGTAAGCCAGAAAACTATTTGCGATTGTTTGTATCGTATGGAGAAGATACAGAAAGAAAGGAAATGGGTTCCACACGAGCTAAACATTGACAACAAAAATTGACCACATGCGTTACCTTGCTCGCCAGACAACAAAAAAAGATCTTTTGCACAAAGTCATAACTGGTGACGAAGAATGGATTACGTGTGAAAATCCTAAACGCGAGAAATCATGGATAGTCCTGATCGACCGACAACGTCGACAGCGAAACCCAAACGTTTTGGAAAAAAAGTTCTTCTCTGTACATGGTGGGACCAGAAGGGTGTGCTGTACTATGCATGAGCTCTCTTGGAACCGGCTAAAACCATTCAAGCAAAGATTTACCAAGAGCAATCGATACGTTTAACCTCTTAGGCACGGCTGAATTTTGCTCGGGGCTGTTTCTCTGTACGGCAGAGTTCGACGCGAATTACGCGTAAACAATACAGCACTGCAATGTGTGACGGACAATGCTGTTCTCTACGCGAGCACATTGGAATGAAGTTTTTGATGATTAAATTTATATTAATTTTTCTTAAAGATATGATACATATACTTTAACTTTAATAATTGACTTTAATAATTAACAATACAATTGAGTCTGATATATTTTAAAGCACGGTACGACACATAGACCCACGTCACAATCTTCACACTCATAGCGCGATCTTCGTCTTACATCGTTCTTCGAACATACGATACAATTTCGTAATGCTTTTTTAGATTTTGTGGAAAATTATAAGGATACGGATCGGCATGTTAAAAGGAGCAAATTTATTTAAACGAAAAGCGACAATTCATACCTGACACGTATCAAAAACAAAGACTGTATATTCTGTCTGTATATTGTTAACACTGTTATAAAACGTTGCAAAGGCAAAAAAAGTGTGAAACAAGACATATGAAAACGATCAGTTAGTTCAAACGGTGAGCGAGTGAGTCACTAGAGTGAGCCACTATAGTGGCGCGTCGTTCAAAAACATGACATCCGCGAAAGCCACTATAGTGGCGCATCGTGCCTAAGAGGTTAAGCAATGCAATTGAGAAAAAAAGGCCATTTATTCGACAAAGCAGCCGTAAAGTCATCCCGCTGCACGACAATGCTAAACCGCATACAGCAGAAGCCACAAAGGAAACCATCCTACATTTGGACTGGGAGGTTCTTTCACACGCGGTGTATTTTTCAAACTTGGCTCCGTCAGATTTCCACTTGTTTCGGCCGATGCGACACACACTATTTGATACACATTTTTCGTTAGTTGAGGACGTACATACGAAATTTCATCGATGAGGCTTTATAGCCTCAAAGCCACAAAAGTTTCTACCGTAACGGGATTCGGCAACTGTCCAATAAATAGCGTAAGGTCATCGACAACAACGGAGTATATTTCATTGAGTAATCTTGTCCTACTGGTTTTTAAATAAAGATTGTCCAAAATTGTCAAAAATCAGAAACAGTCAACTACTAGATCTTATATTTATAAGTAAAAAGTGCCTCCCCTTTTTTTTCTCCAAACACACTCATGCAGCCTCAACTCGCTTTTATGTCATCAGTCAAGGATGCGGGTCGCTATCGGGAGAGGGGGGGGGCAGGAGGGAGGGAGGTTCATCGGAACGTGTCGAATCGCATCGACGAGGCGGAGCGCCAGCGAACGGGAGCGCTCTCGCTTTTGAATTTACAACCTTGGTTTAATCAATCATATCTAATAACGTGCATGTGTTATTTATGTAATCAAACATGCACACACACGCGCGCGCGCACTTCTCTCTCTCTCTCTCTCTCTCTCTCTCTCTCTCTCTTTCTCTCGCCGATCGTATTAGATTTCCTATCTAATTTGGGAATATTGAATATTCGATCATTCCGGCACGGATATTACGTTGCACGCATCGCCGCGGGCGTGTTATTTCGAGCCGCGCAGTTCCCCGGCGAAAGCTCGGCAGCGCCGAGGGAGACTTCGAGATACATTAGTCAGAATTCTGAAGTTGCCGCGCGCTAATCCGCCGCGCCCGCGGCCGAATTGACGCGCGTTACAATTGCGACGAGAGGACGACGCGTGTCGAGTTGCACCGCGCGTATTTCCCGCGTGAAGCGCGCGTCAGGCGTTCTCGAGGATCCGGGCTGGCTCCTCAGGTCTGTTCTTTTCATCGGCTAGCCGAGGTAGCCTCGCGCTTTTTGCGCCCGGAGCGAGGCGAGTGTGTCGCGTTAAAGGGGAACAGGAACGAAGTTCCGGCGCAGCGCTGCTTTAGTAGCGCCAAGAAGAGCAGGCCTGTCCTTTCAAACTCGTCCTGGGAACGTCCTACTTTTGTCGGGCTCGTTGTCTGTCGGGCGCCTTTCAGCCGACGAAGGACGACGCCTTTCAGACACGCGCGGTCTTTTAATTCCACTCCCATCTCGTTTTTTCCGTCTCTCTCCTGCCGCTCCTCTCTCTCTCTCTCTCTCTCTCTCTCTCGTTTTATTCCCCAGCCGAGAAATATCGGTTCGATGAAGACGCATCGTCATAGCAACCAAACAAACAAGCCGGCGCACTCGAGGCACGTATCGAATTTGTCGCGCGACTGACACCGTCTCGAAAGGGCGGCCGCCGCCGTGGCCTCGGCGTTTTCATCGCTCCTTCGCAGCCGCGCATCCAGGAGGATGATCGCGCCGCCGTCGTCGAGGACGCGCCGCGACTTACCGAAGTCTAGGAGGTATCCCTTCGACGTGCTCGGCACCGCGAACATATCTTACGGGCACAGGTTAGCGGAGTGCGCGGGCCGGCATGTCGCAAAGTGCCATGCAAATTCGCGCAAATCCGTCTTCGAGTGCGCCGAGGAACGGCCGGAGGACAAGAGGGAATACGAGCGCGCCCTCAAGACCGCCGAGTTCGAGAAGGAGACCGATCGGAAGATCAGAAGCAGGAGTCTTCACCAACAAGCTCAACAAGGTATTAACCGAGAGCATCGGGGCGATTACTCGACTCTGCCGGCCGCCTCGCGTTTCTTCGGGGAACTTCGGGGAGCGTGAGCGAGAGGGAAAAGAGGCGGATACACGACGGACAATTCGTTATCGCGCTCTAATTATTGCGCCTCTCGTAATTGCTGTTCGTCGGGGAAATATATATAGAATAGACTTCAACAGTTATTTCTGCGTAACGATCGATGCCCGCGATTGATCGACGTTGCGATTAATTAACGCCAACCGACTGTCTAAGAGAGTCCCCGCCGTCTGCCGATTAATTGACCCTTTCATCCTCGAGTACCACCGACGTTTACGATGGCCGCGTTGACGATGGTATCCGCGTTCGATCGTGAATAACGATTTCTCTCGAGAAGAAATGTTTGTTAAGAAGGACGTGCATGAACCTATTATTGCGATCTTATTGATGTCAAAGCAAATGGCGGGCATCCTTCGGAAATCCTAAGGATACTCAGGATGAACATTACCGATGTCCTGCGGATAGCCAAATTTTATCCTGGAGTATACTTTAGATATCCTGGAAGAGACAATGATAGCTGAATACACTAGCCTTTAAGACATCCTGTCTTCGACAGGATATCCATCTTGAGAATTTTTATGGGATATACAAGGTGCTAAATTTCAAATGTAACAGGTAAAAAATCTCGGAAATTATGAAAGATATTAAAAAAAGCTAAAACACGTGTTCCATGATTTCGAAGAGGAAAGGGAATGGCACTATCAGTTTTTTATTTGGAGGGCATTTTCAAGGTCAGTTGAAGGTCAACTTAATTTTTTTAAATAGAAAGTCCAATTTTTTACTTATCTTCTTTTTCTACCAATTAATTTTAACAACTTTTGTCTGAAACATTTTTTTATTTGCCTAATATTTTTTTTAAATATTTAAGGAAGACTTTGTAACTTTTTCAACATTTAACTTACGATATCTCGCTAACTATTTGTCGAAAGAAAAAATAGTATTAGACTTTTTCACTTTATTTACTATCAAGAATATATTACTATAATAGTGCCCTAACTTTTGTTGATTTAATAATTTTGAAATTTTCAAAGGTCGATAAGTTAACAAAAGTCAACATATATTTTTGATAGTAAATAAAGTAAAAAAGTCTAATACTATATTTTCTTTCGACGAATAGTTAGCAAGATATCGTAAGTTAAATGTTGAAAAAGTTACAAAGTTTTTCTTAAATATTTTAAAAAATATTAGGCAAATAAAAAAATGTTTTGGACAAAAGTTGTTAAAATTAATTGGTAGAAAAAAAAAGATAATAAAAAATTGGGCTTTCTATTTAAAAAAATTAAGTTGACCTTCAACTGACCTTGAAAATGCCCTCCAAATAAAAAACTGATAGTACCATTCTCTTTCCCCTTCGAAATCATGGAACACGTGTTTTAGCTTTTTTTAATATTTTTCATAGTTTTCGAGATTTTTTACCTGTTACGTTTGAAATTTAACACCCTGTTATGGATATTTTTTAGACGTCTAATTGATGTCAAAGCAAATGTCGGGTTTCTCTGCGGGGCAGAATTCGTAGCGAGCGAATCGATGCGTGGTAATTCTCACTTGTTAATTCCGTTAATATAACGAATATATTCGGATTTGGCAATCGATTTTGCGCGATTAAACGATTGGTCGACGTTGCGGTCAATTAGCTGACCGACGAAAAGAGCGACCGTATGCTTGAACAAATACATTTTTCGATAGTCGAAACATCTCGGAACTTTTCATAAAAATTGTTGAAAAGACTCGCTTTATTCGCTGACTGGCAAGTATCACGATACTGTCGTTCGAACAATAATATCGGCAACAAGAAATTGAGCGGAATTAATGTCGAGCGGCGGATTTTCAATTCTCCCGGGATGTGCTGCTTGCGGAGGTTCGGCATCGAAAGGTTCAGCACTGCGCTGACTAGCGACGATCAGCGACTGATTTTTACTAGAAGTCGGTCAGAACGATAGGTTTCAGGCAAATATAAATAATTCAAGGGGGAAAATAATTGCTTATTTTTTCAAACACTCAAAGTGACAGGTTCTTGAGAAACGCAAGTAATATGAGGAAGAAATGACTTGTCTTTCTTAGTTTCCCCTAAAGTCGCGATCGGAAATATAAAATGTACCGTTGCAAATTTCTGTACTTCTTTCGAAGAAGTTACAAACCGGTCACTTCCGACCAGTTTTACAGCGATTCTAGAGTTAATTACACGGTTGAGTAATTTGATACGTGTTTGCCTGACTAAGCGAAATTTAAAATAAAGGAATTAGCTCGATTAAGTTCGTTAGTCGAAAGTTACTTAAGCTCTAAGTACAAAATTATGTTGAAATTGATTTAATAAAATTGAGAGACTTAATTATGCAAACCAATTTTTATACGCACTTATATAAGCAACTGTTTGATCGTTAAATCTGTGGAATGCGATTGAAAAGTTCCTCGCGGGAACACACCGATCGTTTTGCGTGTACTCAGAATTCTGCGCGAGAGAACAGCCGTTGCTCAGATAGACGCACAGAGAAAATCTCACTGACTCACTGTTTCCGATCCCTCTCATTCTACATTTTTCAAGTAGTCCGTCATGATCCCACAACACTGCCGACTACTGAAGAATCGTGCCAACTTTTATAAAGAAAAAAGGAAGTCAACGTCATCCAGATAGCAAAATGACATCTTTCAGAAATCCTAAGGACATTCAGGATGAACATTTTGGATATATCCTGTGGATACCCAAATTTTATCCCGAGATATACTTTAGATATCCTGGAAGAGAAAATGATAGCTGAATATATTGGCCTTTAAGACATCCAGAGGATATCCAGTCGGATGTCTTGAGGATTCCTACGGGATATGTTATAGATACTTTTTAGGTGTCTAAAGGAAAAGGGAAAAACATCGAGTGTTGAATTTGTTGATTACGAATTGTATCGAGTTATGTCTTTCCTATTTGAAATATAAGGAAAAAACGCATTTAACGATTCTAATCGGAATTGGCGAATTAATTATATTAATATTAGGTAAATCGAAAAGTTTCGTCCGTTTAGCGACAAGTAGCTACAGCTAGAACTGTCGTTACCCTCTAATATCTAAACGAAGCTTAATAGTTTGTTTTGACATTTGTCAATAACATTTAGTACATAAAAGTATACGTTTGCATCAATAACATTGTTTTTCACTACATCGAAAATGTCGAAATTTGAGCCAAATAAGCGTCATTTGCGCGAAGTGTTAATCTTTTGCTTCAATTGGAAGAAAACTGCAGCTGAATGGTTGTAGAAGTTTATGGTGATAATGCTTCTTCCGATGAAACATGCAGAGAATGATTTCGACGCTTTAAAAAATTAGTGATTTTTATGTAGAGGACAAAGAGCGTTCTGGACGGTCAAGAGTATTCGAAGACGAAGAATTGCAAGCATTAGTGGACGAAGATCCATGTCAAACGCAAAAGCAACTTGCAGAAGTATTAAATTGTGTTCAATCTGTCATTTCCGATCGTTTAAAAGCCTTAGGAAAGGTTTACAAGGAAGGAAAATGGGTCTCATATGAACTGAAGCCAAGAGACATTGAAAGGCGAAAAACCGCCTGCGAAATTCTGCTTGCTAGGCAACAAAGAAAGGGGTTTCACATCACTGGGGATGAAAAATGGATTTATTCTGACAACCCTAAGCGTCGAAAAACTATTTGCAATCCCGGCCAACCCTCAACATCGACGCCAAAACGGAATATCCACAGAAAGAAGACAATGCTCTGTATTTGGTGGGATCAGAAAGGTGGGCTGTACCATGAGCTGTTGAAAAGTGGTCAAACAGTCACAGGGGATCTCTGCGGAGAACAAATGATCCGTTTGAGCCGAGCATTGCACGAGAAACGACTAGAATATGAAACGAGACGGCATAAAGTGATTTTGCTTCGTGACAACGCTCGGTCTCACGCTCGCAAAATCTGTCAAGGAAACGTTAGAAGCACTTCGCTGGGAAGTGTTACCCCATGCGGCTTATTCACCAGACTGTGCCCCTTCCGACTACCACTTGTTTCGGTCGATGGCACACGCACTTGCTGAGGAATGCTTCAATTCTTATGAACACGTCGAAAGATGGGTCTCTGACTGGATAGCCTCCAAAGATGAGTCATTCTTTCGCCGCGGAATTCGCTTGCTGACCGAAAGATGGGAAAAAGTCATCGCTAACGATGGACAATACTTTGATTGATATACTTTTTCATTTTGTTTCTTAAATAAAGCCATACAGTTCCGTTTCGCAAGAAAACGGACGGAACTTTCCGATTGACCTAATAGTTCCATTTCATTTCCAGAAACAAAAAATTTTTGAAACTTTTTAAATTTTAATCTCTTAGAATTCCAAAATCTTTTGACTAAAAGAAAATCGAGCTGTTAATGTATTCAATTTGCTAACTCCGATTTAGGATCGAGTAGTTGAACGTTTTTTCTTCTTCTTATATTTACAATTTAAGTGGGAAAGATGTATATATATAACTCGGAATCAGCAAATATTACTTGAGATTGTTTGCGAATATGCAGTGGACATTTATGGGAGATATGTATTTTATTACAGTACTGTGACGTGGCGATTTTGGATCGCTCGTCACAAAAGGCAAAGGGCCTCCGAAGGGATCCAGGGAACGTCGCGCTCGTTCGCGACGTCGCGAGGCGAGCTGCGTTATAGTAGGGATTGATTGAGAATGCATTTCGTTTTCGGCGAACGATCTCGTATCTAGGAGTGCGGGATTGCTTTTTTTCTTTGGTGGTACTCCCGCGTCCCGGTAAATTGTGTGCCCCTATCGCCGCGGGCAGCCTCCGACCAGCAGGAACAGCGGACAAAGGACATCGGGCCGAGGAGGCAAGAGTGGAGGAACCGCGCAGCCGCCGGGAAGACCGAGAGACCCCTCAGGTGATGTCTTTGTTCCGCTAATATTTTCCTTTTGCGAGAAATTTGTGCCGTTATCATCGTGCCGCTGCCGATTTATTTGTGTATTGTCGACAGCGAAGAAAACAAACCAGGACACGGCACACGACAACGAGGAGCCTAGATCACGCGGGAGATGCTGCCAGAGAGAAAGAGGAATCCCGAACAACATCTCGACACCGCGTGATTGGGGAAGGAAAAAACGGAGCAATGAGCGGAGCTCGCTGGAAAAAGGACACTTCTTGCGGAAACGCGAAGCGAGAGCTAACGAGCGATTTTAGCTTACCGAAAAAGAGATATCGAGCGGGTACTCCCGAGCTATCGTACCTCTAGTGTCGTGGGTGTACCGGTAGTAACCCGTACGGCTTAGTGCCCTGTCGAGGGCAATGGTTAGTGCCCCAAGCGGATCTTTGGGAGAGAGAGAGAGAGAGAGAGAGAGATAGCGGGAAAGAGGAGAAGCGGCGCGGCTGGAGCGAGACAGCGAAGGAAGCGAAGAGGAGAGAGAGAACGGAGCGAACGAGCGGAGGAACGCGACGGCGACGAAGGAGGCTACCGACAGCAGTCGCAACTGTAAGGGTACCTATTTGTAATTGACCCCCTCCCCCCCCCGTTGTCGTTGTGAACCGCTTGCGTGGTGAGGCCGGTCGGAGGCTGTCGGATTTTTGGAAATTGGTGTCTGGTTAGCGACAGCCGAAGCCGTCCGGCGGTCTTTCTGCGGAACGCGGGTAGCCGGACGTTTCTCTCTCTCTCTCTCTCTCTCTCTCTCGGTAGCGGGTGTCGGCTGTTGTCGAAATTGCGAACTTTAGCGCGAGATAACGAAAGTTGTCGTATTCGCCTCACCGTAGGGAGTCAAGCGTTCATTGCCGAATTTGATGTACTTTGGGTCCATTGTTGTAAATCCAGCTAATATACCTCTTACGTCAGTATTTTAAATCGAACGATTTTTCTTTTCTTTGCCGATTAATATCCTGTTCCCGGAAACACCCCGAAGACAGACCCACTCCCAACTCCGACTAGAATTACAAAGAGCTGTTGGTCTCGTAGGCGATCGAATCGCCTCGCCGTCGCTAAGCCTATCGTTAGTGTTGGTGGGCACGAGAATCGTGCCTGGCGGCCAACTTCGGTTTTGGTGAATTTTTGGGGGAGCGACGAAGGGCGACTGGTAGATCGTCGCGAATATTTGCCCGCTACCTAATTGATACGAGTGGTCGCAGTACTCGGCATTCTGAAATTGTCTTTAATGTCGCGCTATAATTAATGAAATTAAATTAAAAATATACACGTAGAGTTCTCATTTAAAATATTTACGACACAATTAGATGTCCTGAAAATATTCCAGGATTGTGCTGAATACTCAGGATATCCTGGGATACTTTCAGGATATTTCTATATCCTGAAAATACTCCGGAACATCCTGGAGATATTCAGGATCATTCTGAGGACGTCTTGTGCTGTCTGAGCAACGTGCATCTTCAACGAAGAGCTCTCCGCTCCGAGCCCGGCTCCAAAAGTCACTGACTTCGCGACTTTTCGACCGCAACTTTCGACCGACTGACCGACCAATCACCCAAGTCCTAATTACTCCGAGTCGATTGATGCGCGTCGCTTCGCTCGCCAGAGTCACCGGATTCATCCCACCCCCACGTTGCGAAGCGGCAGAGCCGCGGGGGCTGGCGCTGGGCGAAGAGGGCGCGGGAGGGAGGGATCAGAGGGTGGAGGAAGAGGCGCAGATGAGAGGCGTGTTAATATCTCCTATCTATTTATCACTTCATTTCACTCGCCGTGCATAAATCCGCATTACGCGTCTACTCGGGGCCGAACATTTAGTCCGCGCCGGTCGCGGTGCGGCGCGGCGCGGCCTGAGCAGGCATAATTAGCAGACGTTAATACGACAAGGACCAATCTCCCAGGTGTGTCGGCGTACGAGGAGCGGCTGCGGCTGCGGCGGGCGAGGCTGCGCGACCTCGTGCGGTGCGAGGACTCGGGCCAGGCGCGGCAGCTGGCGGAGGAGGCGCAGCGCGCCGAGGACGCTCGGCTCGAGGAGATGCGCGCGATGACGGAGGAGCTGCGGCGGCAGCGAGAGCAGGAGCGCGGGGTGCTGGCGGCCGCGAAGCGGGCGCAGCAGTACCTGGCCTCGTGCCCGAGCGCTAGACAGGCGTACTCGAAGGGGTGCGCGATGAACGCGAAGCGCGCCAACGCGGCGCAGATCGCGGACCACGCGGCGAGGAGATCGGCGGAGAGGGTGCAGCAGGAGCTGTGGCAGCGGGCGCTGCAACGGCAGCTGGAGGCGCAGGAGCTCCGAGAGTCGCGGCTGTCGGCGAGGCGAGCTGAGGCGCGCCAGCAATTGGCTCGCGGCTTGGCCGAGCAAGTGGCCGAGAAGTTGGCGCTGGAGGAGGAGCAGAGGCGGCTCGAGAGGAGCGACGAGCTGGAGCAGCTGGAGCGGCAGCGCGAGGAGTCGAGCTTGCTGGAGTCGCGGCAGCTCCAGCTGCGTCAGCAGCAGCGGCAGGAGCTGCGCAAGGAAATGCAGGAGGAAGTGCTGAGGGCGCAACGGCAGCGAGCGGAGCGCGCTCGTGAGGAAGTCGCGTCGGTTACTGCGGGCGAGTTCATAAAGGACAAATCGACAAAGGACCCTGCGACGCTCCGCACCGAGTCGATGGCCTACGCCGGCTACCTGAAGGACCTGCGGCGGGACGAGGCGAGACGAGAGCGCGAGGCGGAGGCGGCCATTGAGCGCTCGCGCCAAGAGCTCGAGGCGAAGCGCGAGCTCGCGCGCAGGAGCCTGAAGGAAGCCCGCGAACGCGGCCTGCAGGAGGTCCTGCGCGCTCGGGAGGAACAGGTGAGGGCGCGGCGGACCGCGGAGGCGGCGGAACAGCGGCTGAGGACGGAGGAGAGGGAGGCGCTGGAGAGGCAACTCGAGAGCGACGCCGAGCTGGCCGCGGCGCGGCGGCAGGGGGACAGACAAAAGGCGTATCGTTATGGGCTGGAGCTGGAGGAGCAGCGGCGGCAGCGTCTCGTCGCGGCGGCGGAGCGACGCCGCGAATTGGAGGAGCTGGAGAACCGGGCGGCCGAGGAAGAGAGGATGCGGCGAGCGGCGGAGACGTGGTGCGCTTCCGGAAGGATCGTGCGCCAGCCGCCCTGCTCAATCCCCCCTTGCCGGCGGTCGTCTGAGGAATGCCGGGCCGGCGGTAGTCGCACGCCGCGGGAAGGACGTTCCGGCGGCCCTCCGCTTTTGATTTCCGCGTGAATTTTAACGTCGCCCTCTTCCCTGCAAACTTCTCCGACAACACGACAACGAGCTTGCCGAATGCGTTCGTTGATCGCGTGGGAACCGTTCTTGAAGGATCATAGCGGACGGTAAGTGATGCGTATGTGTGTGCGCGCGTGTATATGCGTGTGGGTGATCGATTAGCGAATAGATACTAATAAATCTATGAGTTTGCGCAAAGGTCGAAGATGCACGTCAAGATTGAACGGACGCTTGAAGATGGATGATTGTAAGGACGGTGGGGTGATGTGAAAAAGAGCACCGAGACGCGACTTTGACCACCGAGGGATGAAAATTTCCCCGCATATTCCGGTCGGTGCAGCTGCATGCGTGCGTGCATGTGTGTGTGTGTGTGTGCGCTTGCACAATTTCCATTCATACCACCGGAACGCGTGTCAAACACGAGGCATTGACAGAATTTAATAACATGCATAACCCACAAAATTATAAATGATATCGTGTAACATTTTGTACCTCTCTCTCCTCCTCCTGCCTTCTCTCTCTCTCTCTCTCTCTCTCTCTCTCTCTCTCTCTCTCTCTCTCTCTCTCTCTTTCTCTTTCTCTTTCTCTCCTGCATTTCCATGGTCAAGTAAAATAACACAGTCATATTTGTCCGACGTGAACGGGACAGTCGACGTTTTTAATTATCGCACACTCTATGAAATTAAAATATCGCCGTGAAACACCGCATTATAAGCGCTATTTGCACATTTCCTTTCATCTTTCCCGCGCGGATCAGAACCAGAGTTTCAAAAGAAAGAAAAAAAAGAGAAGGAAAAATATCAAAGTGTCACGCGAACGTGCGCAGTCGTGCGAATGTCCGTCGGAATACGCGCTTGCGCGCGTGACTCTGCCGATCGAAAAAATGCACTCTCCTCCATATAATTCGACCTACAGCTGGCGTACCAAAGCAGTCGCTTCTCTCTCGATTGCCTCTGTGTTCTCCGCTTCTCTACCATCCGTCGGATGCTGCGGGATCCAGCGATGCTGAAGCGATGCCGGTACGCGCTTATCGACGGCGGCGTTTCGTCGCGGCGGCAGCGACGGCGACGGCGACTGCGGCCTGCGGCGGCGGCTCACACACAGGTACACGAACACAGGTTGCTGCTGGAGCTGCTGCAACACGCGCACTTCGCGTCTTAAAATCCTATTTTCCGCCACAAAGAGGGAAAATTCGGCCATCGCGACGCGCGCAAAGAAACTCGCCGCGGTCTAGCGAGCGCGTCTCCCGCCCACAGGCATCCCCTAATGATACCGCAGCGTCACACACACACACACACACACACAATCGTACATGTATACGTTGCTACATGGTCGTACATGTCGCTCCGTTACGAGAGAAATTACGATGAAGGCTTAAGCGGATGCAATCTCCCGCGTTATGGAGTATTTTGCCGAGGCGCGGCATAACGTACAGCGCGGCCCTATTCGCCTTCACCCTCTTCTTCCCGTCCTCTTCTGATATTTCGAGAGAATGAAACGTACGTTACATTAAAATGTGCCGCGCGCATTAAATCAAGATTTACGCTGCAATTGTGTCGGCGTGCGTGCGCGAGCAGTGTATAAATCTTCATTAACTGCAGACAAGTGAGATCGCATTTTATCGGACGCGACGCTGCGGATGGAAGGTTAAGGGATATCCACACGCCGCTCTACACCGAATTTTTCTAATGTAACCCGTGTCCTGGTCCCACCGATCGTGCCCGACGATAGATCAGCGTCCGCCGACTGGAGACGACACGGATGCTGATCTCGCGGAGCTCGTGAATTCTTCTCCCGCTCGCGCGGATTTCGCTCCGCGCTGATTCTATTTTGAATCCCCTCGCCTTCTCTGCTCCTCTCAACCTCTCTCTCTCTCTCTTTCGTCCGTTACATTCCGCAAATGTAGGGAAATGTGCGTCGGACGAGTATTACGCGCGACAATTTACCGTCGCTATAATTGTCACGCTACAAAGTGGCCATTAAGTTTCTATCGGCCCGCACGGCGCGAGCGCGTATCGGCTCGCGCACTTTTTATATTCTCTTCCTTAATAACGGGAGAAGTTGATTTTCACGAAGCAAGCGTCGCACATCGGAAGAGCGGAACGCATCGGCGAGGCGAAGCGGCGACGAAACGTCCGCGATAAAATCTGCAGATTCCGACGTCTAATTTTTTTTTGTGGCCCGACAGATGCGCGATCTCTCCTGGCGATTTTTGTGCTACCTTTTATATTACTTAATGTTAATTTAACACATCATAAACTCATATATTACACACAGTCCCTTTTAATTATATTCAACCCACAGCTTTGTCCTCTTAAAAAGCAGAAATGGCAAATCGCGTATTCCTTGCTGTTTTAGAGGCGCTTGAGTCTTTATAAAAATTAAATCTCCACACGTTGGTCCCTAGGAGTGTAAGGCCCGGTCTACAATGGGCGCAGCGAGACTCCAGCTGTCCGCTCTGAATCCTACAGTTTCTGGCAAAAAACATTTCCCACCCTGCCTTAATAACGGGAATTTGTTGAGCTCATTTAAAGCTTAAGGGATTATGGCTGCTTCGGACAGCAATGCTTTTAGCCGAAAATTAAGTCACGGTTTTGAGTCTGGAGTAAGTCCAGGTCGAAAATGCGGTCAAAATGTCGAGCACAAGTTCCATCGGTTTTTTCACTCAAACTCTCCGCTTTTTTCATGTTCGAAGGAAATTACCTTCCAAGAGCCAAGAGTTACGCGTTGAGCGAGCGAAGACGCAAAGGTGTGTCGGCGATATACGGCACGTCCGCGGTGAAGTCCTCAAATCTCGGCGGTCTAATTCTCCCACACTTGACAGGCACTCGACCCTTTGACCAATTTAGCCAATCTTTATCCCGTGGTTTCTCCCCGCCCGCAGCCAATCGATTACGCGCGAGGGAGCAACGATTTGCGCGAAGCCCCTCTCACTCGAGCTCGCTGCTCGAGGAGGAATCGCGCATCGTCGAGAGTACATTGGCCACTTTCCCCCCTCCACCTTTCGCGATGATTAAAAAAATTGTTTTCCACGTATCAAGAGTCGCACGGAAAAAGAGCAAAGATGCAGAATGCGTCGGCTATGCGAGGCAGGGAATAGCCGCAAATTCCGGCGCCTAATTTCGCCACGCGTGAAAGAGCGGCGCACAGTGAGGCCAGATGACATTCTTTGGTTCAAAATTCTCCAGAGACCTGAATTTCCAACTGATCATCTACACCAATGGATGAGGTTGATCCTGAATAAATTCCGAAGAGATCTGTCTTGCTAAAATAAGAAAAAAGTTGTTTTCTCGAATTACTAGCCCGAAAAGAGGAAAAATTATCGTTAAACGCGAGAAACTTGTGAAATACTCATTATTCGACACTTATTTACTTACTATCTAATAGCGTATTCAGCGGATTGAAACTATGAAACCAATCAACAGACACCTCGAGATTGATCGATCTTGAACCAGAAACTCATTAACCTCAAAACTCATATGCCCAAAATACAAAAACACCAAATATAGACCCGTTAAGCACAAGACCGAGGGATTTTGAGTCTTACTAGGTGCGCAACTAAGTTTCCTAAGGGTTTTTTTGATCAATGAAAAATGGAAAATTTCAAGAGAAATACAAAAAATGATTTGTTCAAAGTATCGTCCCTCGCTAGCTACACATTTTTGCCATCTCTCTGGCAATACCGTGAATACCGCGACGATAAAACGAGTCTTTGGACCGAAACCATTCATCCAACCAATTTTGCACTTCTTCGAAATTGGCCAAGTGTTGCCCAGCCAAGCCATGCGCCATCGAACGGAACAAGTGATAATCGGAAGGAGCCAGGTCTGGCGAATACGGCGGGTGCGGTAGCAAATCCCATTTCAGCGTTTTGATGGTGTCATGGACGATGGAAGTGCGATGGCACGGAGCGTTGTCGTGCTGCAATATCACTCGTTCGTGTCTCGTGTCCCATTCTGGCCGTTTTTCCAGCAATGCATGGTTCAAATTGATCAGTTGTTGTCGGTAGCGATGCCCATTGACATTGATTTCGCCCGGTTTCAGCAGCTCATAGTACACGATTACTTTCTGGTCCCACCAAACGCAGAGCATTGTCTTCTTTCCGAAGCGATTTGGCCGTGCCGTCGATGTTGATGCTTCGCCAGGTGAAAGCCACGATTTTTTGCGTTTGGGATTCCCGAAATATATCCACTTCTCATCGCCAGTAACAATTCGATTCGCAGGAAACTCTTTCTTTCATGCCGCAAAAGCAAAATTTCGGAAGTGGCTCTTCGATTTTCCATCTGTCTCTCAGTCAACTCATGCGACACCCATTTTCCTTCCTTTTGAATTTTTCCCATGGCATGTAAACGGTTGGAAATACCTTGGCGAGTCATGTTTAATGCCTCCGCAAGTTGATCTTGTGTTTGCGTATCATCTTCATCCAATAACGCTTGCAGATCGGCGTCCTCCGGCTTGTTTTTGGTCTTCCGGAGCGCTCCTTATCCTCAGTGTCGAAATCTGACCACCACTTCTGAAGCGTTTAAACCAATCTTCACAGGTAGTTTTCGATGGTGCATGTTCGCCGTAGGCCTCCTCAAGCAAACGACGTGCTTCAGCTGCACTTTCTTTCAAGTTAAAGCAGAAAAGCAAAGCTTTCCGCAAATGCTGTTTATTTGGCACAAACGACATCTTCGTTGTTAGAAAAAATATTTTTGCGTTGCGATATGTGTTGGTATTACGACTGGTTATTGTTAACAGATGTCCAAGCTATAAAAAAACACAACTTTAGACATGTATGTCGACTACATGCGTCGTTAGCGCCATCCATGTGTGAAACCCGGAAACTTAGTTGCGCACCTAGTAAGCCCATCAACCTAAGAATCTATCAATCCGAGAACTTTTTAGCTCGTGGATGCATGAAGCCGTATATATTAAGAGCCCTAAATAGTCCAAGAACCCAGAAGTTCTGAGGTCTCGCATTTAGTATCCGTAGGCTCGAACCCATTGAGGTCGAACCCAAGACACTGCGGTACTTTAAACGATAAATTTTTAAGACCAACCCTGAACCCATGAACCCTGAACCGATAATTTTTTCAAAATTTCGGCTAGACAGATCTCTTTGGAATTTATTCAGGATCAACCTCATCCATTGGTGTCGATGATCGGTTGGAAATTCAGGTCTCTAGAGAATTTCGAACCGAAAAATTTCATCTGGCCCCACTGTGCGGCGGTTTGCGTGAGACGTAATCCGCACTTGGGCTCATTACTTAAGGAGGAAACGCGGTTCCGATATCTCTCCTTCAGGCTCGACTTTTCCCCTCGCGCGGCCGCTGCTCGTTTTACGTTCGTCGAGTCGCGTCCCCCCAGCGCCGAGTCCGATCGCGCGTGGCCGCCTGCGTGCGTGCGTGCGTGCGTGCGTGCGTGTATGAATACGCACGTCAGTTTAATACCGTAGACGATCCCACTACGGTGATTGATCGAACGCTGCCCAGACAGCGGCAGTTTGTCTCGAAATTCACCCCGGAGGTTAGAGGGTTGCGCTCGGAGCGGCTATACTGATTGA